GACTCAATGCATCAGCCACTTGGTTTTGCTTGAGCGACTTATGTATCCACACGAAGTCATAATCATTCAATATCTCTTGCCATCTAGTCTGCTTCAAACTCAGTTTTTGCTTAGTTTTGAAGTATGTATTAACCACATTGTCTGTCTTGACAACAAACTTTGTCCCAAGTAGATACACCATCCATATTTGAAGACAATGGAGTACTGCCACCATTTCTTTTTTGTGTACAGAATACCCTTGCTCCGCATGATTCAACTTCATGCTTTCAAATGCAACATGATATAAGGGGGTCAAGCCTCAAGTCGATCTAACCCATTTAGGAAGTCTAAGATACTTCAACTCAGCAAACTTTTTTTCACTCATTTCTAGATTAACTCTAGAAAAACATACAGAAGTAGAACACACAAGCTCATTACAAGAACAAGTCCCAACTTTGTATTAAACTCATGCCACAAAGAAGCACACAAATAGTTTGGCCTTACAAAATTCGACCAAAAAACATTTTTCCTAAGACTGGTCTGCTTGTAGTCACATGCCAGACACATGCCCACAACTTCAGTTGACAAGCCCAACGAATAAGCCGAATTCAAAATTTAAACAACAAGTCTTATCTACAATGCTGACAATTCTCCAACGTCTAGAAATAACCAAATTCGCCCAATCGCCCATGCATGTGTGAGGTAGACGCGAGCAACCTTCAGCCTTGGCACCAAAATCACCTTTCAACCGCCTAATCTCGAACCTGCCCACGTGCCATCCATGTGCATTAGTCCTTCATTGCCCAACTTGCCATTCCAAGCACTTAGTCTTCAAACTTGTTTAGCCACGACCCTATTATGATCACAACCCTGCCTTGTCTTGTCTTAGCCTATCCAGCCTTTTTCAATGCTTAGCCATGCCTTGCCTCACATGCCTTTGCTTTTTCAGCCCTTGTCATGTCGTAGTCACGCCTTGTTTTGCATGCTTAGCCACGTCATTGCCAAGGTCTTCTTCTATTTGAACTTAACCTTGACTGAAGTCATTGAGTCTCGACTAGGTTCATCATGTAAATCTCTAGACAAGCTCGAGCCGCTCGAACAATTTGAAGTATTTTCAAAAACAATTTTTGTTTGAAAAAACTTGATGGGGGAGGGGGAGGGTTAGGGATGGGAGGTGGCGTAACAAATGCAATTTTTTAAATTTGAAGAATTTAAAAAATAAAATTGTGGGGGGGTTTCGCAGGTCAGGTTATGGGGTGGGTTAAAAAAGAGGAAATTTTAAAAATTTAAATATTTTTTCAAAACATTTTTTTTGTAGGGAAAGCGGGTAGGGGTGGTAGAGGCTGGGTGAGGTAAGAGAAAATTTTAAAATTTGAAATATTTTTAAAAAATAATTTTGTAATTTTTTTGTTGGGGGTGGGGGTGGGGGGAGCTGGTCTGGGAGTAGGAATAAAACAATATTTGAAATTTAAAAATTTTAATTTTATTTTGGATGGAGAGGGTCGGGTATGGAGTACGGAAAATTTTAAGCCAATCAAACATGGGAAAATTGAAAACACACAATTTCAGCTCCCCTCCATTACCCCCTCCCTCCATTTCGTCAATTGCACATCTAGATGAGAGACATGTGTCTTATCTAAAGTTTAAAGGTCAAGATTATATTATATTAACAAATATCATAACCATAGTTAAGTCAAATAATTTTAGAAAACTACTTTCCAAATTTGATAAGAATTAAAATATATTCCATACAAAATTTGATATTTATTAATATCATTAATTTCATCTTATATCTTTATATTAATTACAATATATTTTTGTAGAGGCAAGGGGTGAGTACCAACAACATGGTACCCAACAAGAAACCCAATAAACAAGACATTTAGCTAGATATCGAGTACCTGTTATACTCCAACCGAACCTCCTCAAACTATAACCTGTGCATAAATTAGCCCAACCTAACCGTTCTAAAATACACAGCTCACAAGGCCAATATTCGCAATCCAATAGTCACAAATCAATAATCAAACGAATCAAGTAAGTCAATCTCAATGTCAAGTAGATCAGTCACACGCAACAAGTACATCAATCACAATTACAAGAAGTCACATATAAGCATCAAATGCATGAAGTCACAACAATCAATCTTTCACCATAACTAAAACCCATCGGCATAATATCACTAACCGGAACCATTTTCCATCGGCTTTATATCACTCGCCGACAATGACCTTGACATCATAAACACTTGCCAGAAATGATATCGACATCAAACTATCACATGTCTCATCCGATGTTAAATAATCAATATAATGCACACAAAAAATATCACACTACACGGAAGAGACAACAATTCATACAATTCAAGTCCACATTCATGCTATCAAGCATTTCATCAATCAATCAATAAGAGTTACAACAAGGCAATTCACATCATCATGTTTATCACATAACCTTTAGTGTAGAATTAATCCTTTACCTCATTCCCATTACTCCAAACAATGAAGAAAATACACGAATTCTACTAGAATACAAGGTTTAGGAGATCACTTGCCTTAAATCAATCAATAATCACTCCAAGAGTTGAGTCTTCCCCTTCCGAATCACTTCCAAAGCCACAATCTATACAAGCAAGTATTCACCATCACAATCCGGAAACAACAATACCTACATCAATTACTTTGAAAAAATGGGTCAATCAACTCAATACTCAATTCCAAAATTAAGGTTTGAATTTGAAATTTAATACCTGAAAACATTACTCCAGGTTTTAAGAATTCATTGGGGAAAATCAGTTTGAGAAAAGACTCAAAAATAATTCACAATCTCAATTTTAGTTAAGAACTTGAGTTTTTCAAAACCTTACCATTTACCAATCAAAATCCCAAATATTGATGTTAGAATTCCCAAATAACCAAAGGAAAATGTAGGTTTAGGATCTTGAAAGCTTACCCAAATGGTTTAGCATAGGAAAACCTTTCGAAAATCACCACCAAGGATTACCCTAGATCAAAAATGAAAAATGGCGCTTAAGCCCTAAAATTTGTAGGTCAAAACCCCTCTCGGATGTCGCTTAAGCGAACCCCACAAAAATTGGGGGTCTCGCTTTTTTGAACCAGACTTCGCTTAAGCGACCACGCTAAAGGGAGCCACAGTTCTCTTAAGCAAACCCCTCGAAAGGTCTGGACTTCACTTAATAAGTGATCATGCCTTCGCTTAAGTGGAAGGCCTATCACAAAAGCGAAGGGTACAGAACTCAGGCACCAGAAAAACAGTCAAGACTCAAAATATCGAAAGGACCCTCGGGATTTGTTTGAAACGTTGTGCACACAAATCACATATACAAATCAATTATACTCGACATTTCGGACTCAATGAAACCGTCAATGTACAAATTTGAGGTCTCCTTGACCCAACATCCGTGAAAATCACAAGAAACTAACTCAATGCCTAAAAAGGCTAAAATAAGCTCGGGTACTCTCGAAAATCCATCAAGACCTCACCTAGGCCTAAAATCACCCCTGAATCCAACAAAACTCTCGGAATTCCGATCCGAGCATCCAAATCTCAAATGTTGACCAAAGTCAACCCAAAGGTTAAATTTTCATAATTTCACAACTAAAGACCCCAAATCCTCAAGAAAACTCAGAATCAGAAACTGACAACTCTCACCGATCAGATTTCACATTTCAGGACTGATGGAATCAACAAAATTCTATTTCAACACTCAAAACTCCAAAAGACAAAGAAAACCACTTTCTTAACAATATAAACCTTTCAAACTAACTTACAAAATTCTCAACTTTTAGCTCAAAGTTCGAAATCAACTTTTCAAACTCAAGCATGAAAGACTCGGGGTCGATATCGGAAGGAGAAAAATGGTAAATTCATAAAACTTTTCAAAAATGACTAACCGGTTCATTACAAAAAACCTACAAGTATGAAGGAATTCTAAGGGAGCCACGTAGGTAGGCCTAAAATTCTCTTTTATATATTTTAGTTAGATATCCTTAAAATTAGGAATTTGATTATTTTGTTTTCCTTATTCCAATTTACTGGATATCCCTAATTTTAGAGATTCAATTATTTCATTTCGGCCCTTTGTATTTGCAGTAATTATTAGTTAAAATACTTTATTTTTGCAGCAAAATTGATTTTAAAAAAATTGGAACATTTTTCAAAACCTATTTTTGAAACTTTAGATACCACATTCAAGTTTATAATTAGAAAAAAAATTCATATCTAATAAGTTGACATTTGAAATTAGAAATTCACATGGAAACACTAACGTTACTTGTACGCCAATGTCCCTAGTAGTCTAATTAAGTTATACACAAGTCTTTTTCTATATATAGATATTTTAATATATAATTGTGCAATTATTAGTACTAAACATAAAATATTTGGAAACACTAATGTTACTTGTACGCCAAAGCCCTAAGTTATAAAATACTTTTTTCTTTTTATTTTATCTTTTGAATATTTTTACTCGAATACTTAATTTACTGATCATTGACATTCATAGTTATCCTAAAATGAAAATACTAAGTATTTTCTTTGTCTCAATTTATATGACAGATTCTCCTTATTGGTCAGTTCAAAAAAGAATGATACACTTTCATAGTTAAAAGTAATAATTTAACATTAAAATACTCATTTTACACTTATTGAGATGATTCATAGTCACATAAACATTCATGACAACTTATTTTAGATCATAAGTATCAAAAGTCTTTGTTTCTTTCTTAAATTCCATGCCTAGTCAAATTATTAATTTACAGAGTATTAATTTAGTGAAATCTTACTTACAAAATCAAATAATATTGAATTATAGCAAACTTTAATTGTTCCATTTATTGAGATCTGTACGTATATAGTGAGCATTGATCCACTATATAATATTCCAGTAAATAATCCACTCATATTTTTTTATTTACAATATAATATAATATAAATTAGTTTATATTATCATTAAGTGGTACATATTGCAATTTTATGCCTATAAATAAAGGATAATTTCTGTGTCTGAATTCCATCCAAGTTTAGCTATTTCTACAATACATCTATAGCAAATAATTTTCCAATGAAGTTGCAGGCCCTTACCATTTTCTTGGTAAAGTAGCATTTTTATTTATATACTAGTTTTTATCTTATCATTTTACAACTTATTTAAGTTTGGTCCTTTTCTAGGTTATCATTTGATTTTGAAAATATTATCATACTTAGGAAGTAGTATATTTCACTAAATTATTAAAATTTACTTATTTTGAAGAGGAAAAAGAATGTGACTTGAGGGTAACAATTTGTAGCATTTTGTGATTAACCAAGATTTTTTAAGTGTTTTTTGGGACGAGATACTTTTTTTAGCTTTTAAAAAATAACTTTTATTACTTGATCAATCCTTGTTTGTCTTCGAGAAATTAGAAGCAAACAAAGCGGGAACTCATTTTGTTAGGTTCGTGAAGCCCCCTTTTGATGTAAATGCATGTCATAGTAATGACTATGTTCTACCCCCTTCCCCTAATGATACTAGCAGGCGTGCAGTCATGTCACTCTTATGTACTGATGCATATTTATTAGTATTAATTAATATAAGTACCTTGTTTTAACCAAAAAAATAATAATCTCAACTCAGTAAAAAACTTGATGAACTTTTTAGAAGTTTGGTCGGACAATCTATATATTATATGCTCATATATTACTCTTGACAAATTAAATTCCATTATCTAACTCAAATATAAGTTTAATATATGAGTTTTCATAACGATTTCAAGTTAATATATATAATAATAACTGACTTCCTTTTCAAATATATATATGTAGCTTGCTTTTGTATTAGCAAGTACTTATGCAGCGATATCTCCGGAGGTTTATTGGAAAATAAAATTGCCCAATACTCAAATCCCCAAAGTCATCAAAGATTTCCTTCCTCAATCAGGTATACAATAGAATTTATTGTATGTGTTTATATTTTAAGGATAGTATTACAGGCATACCACAAAATATGAGAATTCTCATGATTTTCAACAATTTATTGTGATTGTGATTTTACAGACGGCGTTGTTCCTGAGCTTAAACAAGAAAACACTAAGAAGAAAGTGTACTATGGTTTAAGTGGATATATTCCCATTAGCTGGCATCATGTTGCTAATTTTGAGTTTCAACGTTTCGTGCTAGAAAACCCCAGCACGAATAGTGCTACTAACAAGAATTTGATCAAACAAGTAACTGAAGGAAGTAGTTTCAAGAATGATCTTAAAGTAAATTATGATACTTTGAAACAATACTTCTTTTTAGAGAAGGACTTGGAGAACGGAAAAGTTGTCGAGTTTCCCTCTTTCCTAAATAAAAACGAAGCACCATTTTTACCTAGACATTTTGTTGAATCGATTCCCTTCTCGATGGAGAAATTCCCAGAGATCCTCAACCATTTCTCAATCGATAGTAAATCAAAGGATGCTCAAACAATTAAGAAAACAATCAAACTTTGTGAAGAGTCAGAAGTGAAACATAAAGAGAAGAAAACTTGTGTGACTTCTTTGGAGTCTATGGTAGATTTCGGGTTATCTGTACTTGGGACAAACAATATCCTCGCGATTACTTCAGAGGTACAAGGGGAAACTCAAGCATCCCAACGATACACAATTGAACAAGTTCAACAAATATCTGATGGGGATAACATGGTTTGCCACAAGCTTAACTACGCGTATGCTCTACATTATTGTCATGTTGGAGGAAGTACAAGAACATATATGGTATCTATGGTCGGTGTTGATGGAACAAAAGTGAAAGCAGTATCAGTGTGCCACAAAGATACATCTTTTTGGAATGCACACGCGATCCCTTTTGTAGTTCTCAAGGTTAAGCCTGGAACTACGCCAATTTGTCATTTTCTTCAAGATGATCAAATAGTCTTTGTGCCTATCTAAATAGGCCACTAAGATGCTATTTGGAGTTATGAAATAAGCGTTCAGACGCCATCCTAAATCGTCCTCTAAGAGTAGTCGTTTACCTTTTATGTGTTTCATGTGTAATGTATCTTTATCTTTATAAATAAATGGAAATGATCCTCTGCTTCGTGTTAATTTTTGTATGATCCCCAATGATATCATTGATAGTTATTCGTTGCTGAACTTACTAGTTAATAATGAAAGACATGTCACAATTAATTTATATTTCACAAGCAAAAAATGACATTGCTAATCTACCAATAATATAAACTAATATTATGTACTACAATGATTGAAGAATTGTTGAAATAGTTCCAATAAGACTTTGTCAACAAATCTTTAGATACAAAAGTCATTATAATACCAGTCAATTGTAACTGGCTTTTCATTCCTTTAATTTTGTTGGAAATTAATAAAAGCAATTAAAGCTCTCCAACTCACTTGGCAGAGTTGTAGAAGGATAAAGTACTAAGCCACCAATGAAGTCCACAACTCACTTCTTGAAGTAACTATAGGTCATATGTAGCAGCATTCTATTGGAACTACATTAAACTTGAATGAAATCAGTCCTATCCTGTTTATAAGGACATGTTTGGCTCTATCTTCCCAAGATAGAGTGAACTCGTTGACTTTTATCCTCTGTTATGACCCAACTTACCGGTCACCTATTCTAACACCCTAGACAGGAGAATCCTTGCTATCCAAACCAGATTAAACAAGTGGAAGAATAAACTAACTACTACAAAGCTCATAAACCTTGAGAAAACAAAACTTTAAATAAACTCTTTTTACAAAATACCGTGAAACAACCCTCAAGGAACTAGTCTAAACAGATACAAGAACTACTAAGGATATACATTCTATACAAGAAAATATGACACAACTCCCACCGTAAGGAAAGGAAACATGGAAGTTGTCAGAGATCATCGTCGTCTGCACCTATGTGTAACATTAGACTATGCCAAGTGGCATAGCAAGAGCTATATCAGTACAAACAACACGTACTGGTAGGCACCATCGGTTGACCCAAACCTACTGCATAATATAATGTGGATAATCAGAAAGTCATGCAATATGAAGGTTACACCACTCCACTTCTCTATTCCCTTAATTTCACCCTTCCTAGGTAACTAGTACCACAAATATGCCACTCCATGGCTCCCTAAGCCTACATATTATGCAACCATAATGTCTAAACCCTATCCTAACTCTACTATTACCTTGAGATTCCTGAATACGAGAACACTCTTAATTTGATTAACCAACCTACTATCCTGACCCTTTTTGGAACAATACATGAAACTAGAGCCTTAGGCCAACTTATCCATCTTGACTTTATCATATAAGTCCTAAAACTATTGGACAACCATAGCAGTCCCAACACTTGACCATACACCAGACAACCACCACTTCAATGAACCTATGACATCATGATAATTAGAAACCCAACTTAGAAATAACTAAAGGATTGAGTCCCCATTAACTCAATCCAGTAATTAAAGAATTATAGTCACAAGTATAACGTAATTCGAACTCCCATTCCTCACCTTGGATTTATATGCACTACCCACAATACCATGAACATATGTCAATCACATATAACAACAATCACGAGTACATAGACTCTTTGTCATAATAATACATGGATCAACAATGCCTAGCTACACTTCTCACATGATTACGATGTAAAAATCTAAACATAAACACATAAAATCTCTAATAGGTATTTCTAGGTAGAAGGATAATAAGAAAATAACCTGCAAAGATTTTGCGTTACTTTCCACTAAAACCGAGGCTGCAAAGACTGTACATGTGCTCTAAAACTGCTGAATCTATGAGATGGCATTCCAAGATGGATTGATGAGGCATCCCAGGGATTCTCGGGCTTGGAAAAAGTTTTACTTGTTTCATCCTGAATTTGCTGCAGATCCTTGAAATGTACGACAAGGTCTAACTAGTGACAATTTTAATCCCTTTGGAGCAATGTCAACAACCTATAGTATTTGGTCAATGATTCTTATTCCATTTAACTCCTTGGGAATGCATGAAGCAATCTTCCTTTAATCTTTCAATGATTATTCCAGGAAAAAAGATGCATGCCAGGAAATGACATAGATGTCTACTTACAACCTCTTATCCAAGACTTGAGAGAATTGTGGTAATTCTTCAACAAATGAAATATTTAAAATGCGAGCAACTTTAAGATGGACAATTAGTGATTTTCCTGGGTTTGGTAACTTATCTGGATGGAACAACTAACGAAGAGATCTTGGCGGAAACACATACACTCAGTTTGCTTGCCCCACATGTAACTTTGCTACAGACTCTTATAGGTTGAAGCATAGTAGAAATGTTGTTTTATGGGTCATCGTCGTATTCTTGAAAGTGGCCATCGATTTAGATTACAACGTCTTTGTTTTAACGAAAAAATCGAGCAACGGGTGCCACCAGTTATATTATCAGGATCAGATATCTTGAAATAAATGGAGGGCATTCCTATCAATTTGGGAAAGACTATCGAGATGAATAACAAGCGCAAAATAACTCAAGGAAAAACTGTTGTTGAAGATGAATCAAGACAATGGAGAAAGAGAAGCATATTTTTTTGACCTTCCTTAGTAGGAATCTAACTTATTGTGTCATAATCTAGATGTTATGCACATTGAGAAAGAATGTGTGTGAGAATTTGATATACACTTTGGATGTAGGAATCAAAGGAGAGAATAAAGGCATCACCAATGATCATTGCCATCAATCATTCTGATTCTCAGGTGCTTATGGGGTTTTGCATTTTTCCTAAATATGGGTTCTTGGCCATTGTTTTGCTGGTTTTGTGATTCTTGGATTGTGTAAAATTATGCCAAATTTGTGGGGTTGAGGAAGGGTTGAAACAAAGAAAGATCTTTGGAATGAAGAGTCGTGATTTTCACATTCTCAATTCCTGACAACTTAGATAAAATCAGTGATACAACATTTAATGAATATGTGGTTCATGGAGTCATCAACTGGTATATGACAACAGTATTATGCTTGTTTTTCTTTTGCACAGGAGAAAATTTAAGAAATTTAAAGTCAAAAACCACAAAATATTGTCGAAGTGGTCCCAAACACCCGGGTCGTGTTCGAGGGTTAGGCTTGGGTGTTGTTCCAACTATGACATTCAAACAAAAATCTAGGAGATTTAAGCATGTTGATGTGAGTTCATCTAGCTCTAGCAGTCCACCTCCAAAGTGGTAGCAAAATGTGACTAGTATGAAATCACAATTAAATGCACTGCTTAGCTTATATCAAAAGAACATAGGGAATATCCCTGAAGAGTTTGCTCACTTATTTACACCTCCTCCACAGTTATGACCATAATAAATATCTATGTTTTATATGTACTCTTTCTTAAGAACATATCTAAGAGTCTAACTCTTTCTTTACGTACTCTTTATGTTCTGTTTGGGCTATCATTATGTTTATTTTGTCGTTCGTGCTAGGAATTCATTTATATTTTCTAGTGTGATAAATAGACTTCCCTGGTGAAGTAGTGGATAAATTTAAAATTTCCTTCAAATCAATGATAATTAGCTTTCTGTGATTTTATTGCTCTTATACCTTTTAGACCAAAATGTCTTAAGCAAGTAGAAACCTCCTCTTCCTTTCTTGTTTTGCCTTCACATACTTGGTAGTGCAAAGTTGTTCTTGCCTTGATAAACAATAAATGATTCTAACTAGTGTTTATTAACATACAACAAAGTCTATGTTAATCCACTGAAATGTGATACTACTTGTTTGTATTGCAAAGTTTCCCTTATTTTGATACTATAATGTGGGATTAGGATCTAGATAAGGTGGTTTTTTAAATAAGAAGAGGTTATAATGTTTTTGTAATGACCTGTTCCCGTCGTTATGGAAAATCCAATGGGAAAAGATTTGGGGCAAGAAAAACTTTTTGTAGTAACTTGAAAAATTGTAGACTAGTCCATATTTGGTAATGAATTGGGGATCTATTTAACAATTTGATCACATGAGTGGATAGCTAAGACGTTAAGGAGCCCGTACGACTTTACGAAATCGAATTTGGGCAAGTAGAACTCCCAAAACTGATCTTGGTGTGAAATAGTAGTTTGTGAACGTCAAGGGTTGAAGGTGTGTTGTGAAATGGGAACTTCAAACTCAAATTCCAAGCTTTTATCTCCGTGCAAGCCGCCAAGGAGAGGCCGCTATGGCGGGTTGAGGTCCGCTGTAGTGGGCCAGCCGCGACTTAAGTCGGGGAAAATCCCCAATTTCGTTATTTTTCTGCAAACTTCATTCTTAAGAGTTAGGAGACGACCCAGGATGAGTTCCTGATAGTTTTTCACGACTTTTGGTGCTAAAGATAAGGATTTTACTCCCCTAATACATTTTTCGATTCGTAGAACTTAGATTCATGGGTAATTATCATTGGGGGAGGGTTTTGACATGAAGTTAATGGTGGAAAAAAGCCCTAGCTGCACATTAGGATCATGGGCTTGGTCTTGCGTTATTGGGTTTGGTATAATCCGGGTAAATTAGACCTTAATTATGGATCCTTGCGTTATATTAATTGTTTGTAGACCTGGAACAAGCGGAAAGGATCAGATATCTTGAAATAAATGGAGGGCATTCCTATCAATTTGGGAAAGACTGTCGAGATGAATAATAAGCGCAAAAGAACTCAAGGAAAAACTGTTGTTGAAGATGAATCAAGACAATGGAGAAAGAGAAGCATATTTTTTTTACCTTCCTTATTAGGAATCTAACTTCTTGTGTCATAATCTAGATGTTATGCACATTGAGAAAGAATGTGTGTGAGAATTTGATATACACTTTGCTTAGTGATTCTGAAAAATGAAAAGACAATCCTCAAGCTCGAAAGGATCTCAAAGAAATGGGTATAAGACAAGAACTTTGGCCATATGAGAATGGAAATAATAAGCCATCTTTGTTTGCTATTTTAAATACGAACAAAAATGGTTTTAAGAAAGATGTATTTTTGAGAACTTTAAAGAATGTCAAAATGCCCGATGGATATGCAAGCAACATTTCAAGATGTATCAATTTGAAACAAAGAAATATCTTTGGAATGAAGAGTCATGATTTTCACATGCAACACTTGTTACCAAATGCAATACGTA